GCGGGGGCTGCGCGCAGGGGGCGGGGCTGCGCGCAGGGGGGCGGGGGCTGCGAAGGGCCGACGGGGCCCTGGTGGGTCCCTTCCATAGCATCTCCTCCCCTACCCTTCGGCGTCAGCTCGCACGTCGAGGCTGCCATGGGTTTGCTGCTGTGGTTCACCCCGCTGTGTGACCAGCCTGGTTCCCCGTGGCCCCGGGACAGCAGCTTTGAGGAGACACGGTGGTGGCGAGGGGCGGGGGGTGGGTGTCACACCATCAAAGCAGAGCAGAGCCGAGTCCAGGACCTCGTGCTCCACGTGGAACCAGGCTGTTCAGAATGTGCGGGAAATGCCTCCCCGCGGTGACGCACTGAAGCGTGTGCGTGCGTGTGAGCACGTTTGCACGAGTGCTGTCCAGTATGTGTTTCCATCCCAACAACACAACCGGGCTGTGAGGACAGCCCTGGGGTGTATCCGGCTTCCAGGCGGATGTGCGCCGTTGTCGCCCGGCCGCCTCCCCTTCTCTGCTCCCTGACGCCCTTTTAGGCAACTGACTTCAGTGGAAAAGCCCTTCCCCACCTGCCTGGACAGCCTCTTTGCTCAGAGCCCTCCCACCATTCTCTGTCTTTGGGTGTTTTCCCAAATTTTACCGTCTGTGTTCTTTCCAAGAGCTGAAAGTCCTTCATTTAAAGGCAGAATCACTCACTCAGAGTCTTTCTTGATGCTTCGTTGCTGCCAAATTGAGAAATAATGTAAAATTAAGGGCTGACCTGAATTCCTCCTCCAAGACCTCTTATGCCTTTGGTGACGCGTTAAAGGGGGATTTCAGTTCACCTGAGCTGTTGACCCCACCCTCCCTTGCGATGTTTAAAGCACAGAAAGTCACCCAGGTTTGCAGCTGGCTGTGAAGATGTCCTGAGGGCTCTCTCACCACGTGGCACTTTTCCTCCGCAGAGCGGTGCTTGGAAGACCATGAGCTGGTGGTGCAGGTGGAGGGCACCATGGCAAGCGAAAGTAAATTTTTATTCCGGAAGAATTACGCAAAATATGAATTCTTCAAGAACCCCACGGTGAGTCTCGCGGCTTGGGATGTGGGGTTTGGAACCTGAGTTCCTTCGTAGCCGATCACACGATGACTGACTGGCGGGTGGCGGGTGGCGTTTGAGAACCTGAGCTGCTTTTTAACTTGCTCGAAACCCCGTCTCTGAAACTTAGTTCAGCATGTTTGCACTGGCCGAGAATAACCATCAGCCACGGTGGGATGAGGGGTTGGTCTCCAAACAGAGAGACAGGAGGAGGGCAGGCTGTTTCAGTTATACTGGAAGGTCTTTGTTAGATTGGAGCCACTTGGTCAGATACTCGGCCAAATAAAAACTCGCTCTTCTCTGCAAATAGCAAATACCGTTTTGGGGTGATCTGCGGAGGAGTAAATCGGGAAATGAACACGAGGCGTGTTGAGCTGGTCTCTCTGGTTTTTCTATGTTTCCGAGGGCGGGATGCCTGCGTTGTGGGATAGCAGGGCGGGGACCCTCGTGGGTACCTGCACGCACCCCATCCTCATCCTGAGACCCAGCGGTGGTGACTGGGGAGCAAGACCTGGTTCTGATGGTCCAGCTGCTGCTTTTATTGAAAGAAAGAAATGTGATGAGTTCTTTTGGGCAGCGCACCAGAAAAGGCCTCTTTCTGTCCGTGGGATCATCTCCTAGTTCTGACAGGCCCTCCTCCCGTGCCGTGCACCTGTGTCTCTTGAGTCCGTGCGCTCGGCAGCCCTCTGCGCTGGCGCACCCTGTGTGAGTCAGTGCACGTAATAGACGCTCCAGGCTTGATCCCGCCTTTAAGGACAGATGCATCCTTTCGCCTCTGCGTTGAGGCTCACTGATTTGTTTCCGCTTCTGTTTCCCGTGTGTGACAAAGCCATAAAACAGACCGTCATTTTAAACACAAACACTGCTCATCGTGATGTTTTTAATCCTGGCATTGAAACTGACCTGGAACCTGTTTGTTTTCCCACGTCCTAGAATTTCTTCCCAGAGCAGATGGTGACCTGGTGCCAGCAGTCAAACGGCAGTCAGAGCCAGCTCCTGCAGGTACGGGGGGCCTCTGCACTGCAAATCCCTCGAGCAGTGCTCGGTGGCCTTGTCAAACGTGGGAGCAACCGCGTTCTTCCTCACCTGTGCGCCTGGGGTCCCAGGGGGCTTTAGAGTAACCAGATGCAAACGTTACCCGGGAAAGCTCTGTGTAGCCGGGCGCCTTCAAAGCGAAGCAAGAATTTATAAACAAAATAAACTGACTTAGAGGCAGTAGGGCTGGGCGTTCCCAGGAGAAGCTCCCGGCTCCTGTGTTCCCTGGGAGGCCCCCAGCTACCCTCCCTCCTCCAAGCACACATCCCTGGAAACCCCTACGAAAGTACTTGGTCCACTTTATAGCAAAAAAAAAAAAGATTGGGTGGCCGTAAAATCCTTTTGAAAGTAATTTATTGTGCTTTAAAGATAAGGACCCCTGTCTGAATGGTCTCCTGGCGTTCTAAAGTCTGTTCCAAGAAAACCCGGCCCTTCCCCTCCCGCCCCCTCTAGCGGACGGGCCAGCAGGTGCGTCCCCACACTTGCAGCCTCTCCCAGGGAAGTCGGGGGTATTGCCCTGCGCCCCTAGGAACGTGTCTCTGAACAGAGCACGTGAGACAGTGAACTGACTCCTTCTGAGTCAGTGGAGGGGACCCACCAAGGTCACCCGTGGCCTTCCGGCTCCCAGACCTGGCCCCCCGACCTCTCCTGCCCGGAGAAGGGGGTGCTGGCTGTGGAAAGAGTTAGCTGGGACGGGGGGGGGCGTTCCCGGAGGGGTCTCGTGCAGACAGACACGGTCACACAGCTTCCGCTGGCGGGGACGTGGCGACAGTGACGGGGCCGGGGGCCTCTCCCAGCCCTCTGTCTGCCCCAGCTCTGGTGGTCAGACTTCGTATTTCACGGAGACCCAAAATGAACAGCAGGATCCTTAACACGTACCGTCTCGTTCGGGGAGTTAGGACACTGCAGTTCTCGTCAGTGTCAGGTCCGCTTGCTTGAAGGTGTTTAAACCCTAATTACGTTCTAGGCGACGCCAGTTTTGACGGGATTTTTAAGACTTCTGAAGGGAAAGCGGTCCTTTGAAAACACTCAGTTTGACCCAAAATAGGAGCATCTTAGTCATTGGTCGGATATTTCAGTGTGAGTCACGCCAGGAACGTATCGATGTTAGTCCTCTGCCGTCGGCGCCATCTGATCCGTAGCGTTTGCCCTTCGACAGACTTTTCTGAATGCCAGCAGCTGCCCTGAAATCCAGGGCTTTTTGCACGTGAGGGAGCTGGGGCGCAGGTCCTGGAAGAAGCTGTACGTTTGTTTGCGGAGGTCCGGCCTCTACCATTCCACGAAGGGAGCGTCGAAGGTGAGCCCTAATTAGAGCGGGGAGTCTGGGAGGCCGGGAGGCGTCAGGGGAGGCGCGGGCTCCGCTCCGGATGCATCTGAGGCTCCTCCAGGCTCACGGCTCGGTGACGGTGGTGTGACAGCTCAGATGGCTGGTCTGCCTCTCTATGGGGGAAACCGGGTGATGACACAGCCCTGGGAATCCCCAGGCTGCGTCATCCCACTGTCACCACGATGCTGGCCAGCCCGGGCCCCTCGGGGGGCTGGGGAGCAGAGCCTCCCGGCTGCCTTGAGTCCCTTGGAAGGTGCGGACTTCATTTCCAACCTTTGGAAGCTGGCATCCTCGCTGGCCCGAAGAACATGGAATAAATAGATCACTGCCACCCTCGTGGCGATCTGATGCACGGGACTGCAGACGCTTTGCAGAAAAAAACTGCGGTTTTGCGTGTATCCCTGGTGGGGAGAGGAAGGGAGGGGTGGAAGGCAGCTGCATGCCTGTGAAGACAGTTGGGGCATCGCAGGCTTGCCTTGCTGGGGTCTTCTTTGGGGTCTTGGCCCCTCTGACCTGTTCCTCACTGTCACGTCCGAGTTCGCTGAGCGTGTCCCTCTGCTGGTGGGGTCTTCACCTGCGCAGGGAGGAAGGGCAACCTCCTAATGGCCGAGTTCGGATGAGCACCGGAGGCTCCGTCCTCCACCGGGCTGAACCCAGGGGTGGGCTGGGGGGTCGGGGAGGAGGGCGCGCGGCGAGCGGTGATGGGACAGTTGGATTCAGAGCGCCCCGCATCGCAGCGCCGTGCGGCTCCCACATTCGAGCGTGTGCCCTGGGACCTGGGCTTCCACGCCTTCTCCTGGTTTTCCCTTTTAATGTCAGGCCCCTGGAGCTTGGATGGGGCAGCCTTCTGTCTGCAAACTGGAGGGGGGGGCTGGGAGGATGTGGTTTTAATGTCGCACTTGCTCCCCACGGTGGTTCTGAGCGGCGGACGGACCTCAGAGGGGAGGCGGCGGCCCGTGGCTGCGCTGAGCCGTCCCCCCGCGTCAACCTGACCCCCTCCCGCAGGAGCCCCGGCACCTGCAGCTGCTGGCCGACCTGGAGGACAGTGGCGTGTTCTCCCTGACTGCCGGCCGGAAGCAGTACGGCGCCCCGACGGACTTCGGCTTCTGCATAAAGGTACGCCGCCCGCCGCCCTTCCAGAGAGAGTCCTTGAGCATCTGCACGCCCCAGGCACTGGGCTCGAACCGGTGACCTCCGGCTCTTGCTGGATTTATCCATTCCTGTGAAAATGTTTCTCGTGTGCATATGATGTGTTGGTCCTGGGGTGGCTTAGAAGCTCAGGGAAGAGCAGAGGATGTGACGGTGGGGTCCAGTGGCTCGGCGACCCCCAGCCTGTCACCCGGTGGCCCCCAGGGAGCTGAGCGGGCTGACGCCTTCGGTGTGGGCTTCCAGCCACGGGGACAGTGGATCGGTGACCAGAGCGCCGACTCACTCAGACGTGCACACACAACACGTGTGTACGCATGCACGTGTGTGTGTGCATGCGTGTAGACTGTGTGCATGCCTGTGCACACATACACACCTGCCTCTGTGGGCAGGGCCCCCTCTTCTCCCGGGCGAGGCCGTGGTCAGGCTGGTCATCACGTTGGCAGGTCTGTACCCAATGCCTGCTGCACACGGGACGCTCTGCTAGGACTCTGACATCCGTCCTCTTGAGTCTTCCCAGGAGCTCCAGGGTGGGAACTGACCCAGCCCCGTGGCCCATGTCCGAGCCAGCGCTCGACCCCGTCCCGAGGAGGAGACGGGGCACAAGGAGCCCGTTCTGTGCTAAATGCCTGCCATCTGCTTCTTTGGGTGCAAGGAGTAGGAGGCAGACCTGCTAATGGCCCGAGGTGCACTGGGCGCCAGTGGGAAGCGGCCTCGGCGGGGGCCAAGCCGGGAGCTGGGGGCTCTCCCTTCCAACCGGCCCCTGCACTGCAGAGCTGGCTTCCCCGGGTCACCCCACGCAGGGGCTGTCACTCTGCTCCCTCGGGGTCCCCCCCACCCAGATTCCGAAGTGGGGAGCTGGGCCTGTGTCCACCCCAGCACTGCCCCTCGGGTCTGGGTCCAGGGGCTCCCGTGGTGTCACTCCCTTCCAGCGGGTCCATCCTTGGGGCCCCTCAAGCTCCCCTGCACCCCCTGGGGCTTCTCCCCTCACCGGCTAACCCCACATGGCCCTCCATGCAGCTGCCTCCTCCGTCTTCCCGGGAGGGAAGCTGTGGAGCTGGGTCCTTCTGGAACCCAGGAGCGGGGAGCAGGCTCCCCTCCCCACATTTAGAGTCCCCCTTGTCCCCGTGACACCCGCCACCTCCTCAGGATGGCTTGCTTCCCTGTTTGTCCCCCTGGAGATCCACTGTCAGGGGGACGGCGGGGCGGTGAGCGGCGCTTGATGCTGTGTGCGCACCTGCCATGTTCCCGGGACCCCCCGCTGGTCGCGCGCCAGGGGCGGGGTGGGGGCTGCTCTGCGCCCCTGTGTCACGTTCACTGGGTCTTGCTCTATTTCCTTCAGCCGAACAAAGTCAGGAGCGAGGCCAAGGAGCTGCGGTTGCTGTGCGCCGAGGACGAGCAGGGCAGGACGTGCTGGATGACGGCGTTCAGGCTCCTCAAGGTACGCGCGTGCCCCGCGGCCACGTGCATGAGCCCGCGTCTCCCCGGGAAGGTGCCCGTCCCCCACCCCCCCCGTGTGTGGTCTCCATGCTCTGGTCATCCAGGGTCCCCACACACTTTGCCCAGTGTCTCAGAGGCTTCTCACAGAGGCGTAACATCAGGGGGGTGGGAGCCAGCTCCCCACTTCGGCCCTGCTGGCGTCGGGGGCCGGGGCGGCGGGTTGTCCTGCGCCGTGTAGGACACTTGGCAGCTCCCTGGCTCTCCCACGAGACGCCCATAACACCCGCCACCAAAAGCACCTCTGGACATCACCAGGTGTCCCCAGGCGCAGGTCTCCTGACAGTAAGTTCTAGAAGGGACACCTTACAGTGTGACGGTAACGCCAGGGCAGCTTCGTACGCTCTTCATCAGACGCTCAGTGCGCAGCAGTGGGGGCACCTCACCTTGAGGATGTCCCTCGGCATGCAGACACCCCGCGTGTCCGGAACCTCTTAGGGCCCCGACGTCCACAAAATTTAAGTATCACTCTTGTAAGAGAAGAAGGAATGTAAAGGATGCTCCTTTACAAGCTGGTTTCAGCCCAAGTGACCTTCAGCCGGAGAGGCGTCCTGTGAGTCACCGGGGAGGCGTTTGGGGGCGTCCTCTGCCGCTGGGTGGGGAGTCAGCTTTCCCCTGGGTTCTCTCGTGGGGGAACTTCCAGGAGACATTATTAACGAAAAGCAGCGTGCAGAAAGTGGATGCGTTCGCTCCCTTTATTGTGGGGGGGCGAGGAGACGTGGAAGTGCCTGTTTGATTTGCTGGCATGCGTATAAACACGAGACTTCAGGGGAAGATGAAGGGCTACCCTGGGGTGTAGACGGGGCAGCGGGGGAGGGGAACCTGTAAGGTTTTATATGTTTGTGTGATTTTTTTTTTTCGTCTGCAAGTATATAATCTGTCTGGGAAAAAGCCAGCAGGGAAGCTGTGCATGAGGAGGGCGGGGGTCTCCCTGGGTGTGGTCATCACGTAACTGGGCACAGACGGGAGCGGCCGAGCTCCTAGCGGTGATGAGGACGGGGTTCATCATCGGTGCCAGCAGCACGTGTCCAGTAAAATGCTAGTGCGACATCGTGGGTGTTTCAGAGCGTGGACCTTGGCCCGGGCATCACGTCTCACTCATCAGCTCCTCACGCAGCCCTGTGATGCACACGGGTGACCACCATCGCAGTGCAGAGGGCAGACCTGACACCCGTCGCCATGGCCTCCACTTCGCCAAGTGCCACTCCTGCAGGACCTGGAGCCCGCCATGTGGCCGCCGCAGGACCTGGAGCCCGTCTCACCGGACACAGCAGTAGGGTTACGCCTCCCCATCCCGGCTGGTGACGCCCCGGAGCCTCCCGCCCCTGCCGAGCAGCCAGCAGCAGCATCCCGGCGTGAGCGCTCCTCCCAGATGTGCAAGTGTCCTCCGTCCCGGCCCCGGCTCGAACTGCCTTGTTCCGAAGGGAAAGCATGATTCGAAGACCGGGTTCCATGCGATGCACCCGCCCGTTGCCTTGGGAACAAGGTGTATTTTGTACCAGGGATTGACACCCTTTGAAGGATCCCCAGCTGCCTCCTGGGCAGGGAGACAGGGCAGCAGTCAGTCCACAGGCTGCGAGGACCTGACCAGGAGGGCGTCCCGCTGCCCACCTCCCCGTGCTCGCCCTGGGCCTGCTCCCGGGTCCGGGCACCACCCAGCCTGGCTGCCCCCCAGATCCTCAGGGCTGGGGTGGCCTGGTGCTCAGAACTCAGTGGATGCTCAGAGAATTTGAACTGAACGGAAGTGGGGACCAGCCCAGACTCCCGTCTGTGGCTTTGACCTTTACTTTTTGGAAACTGCCTCTCGCCTTGCCTGGCGACGTCCCGGGAGTCAGCCCACGACGGCACCCCTGCCAGGGCTGGCAGAGTCGGCCGGTGGGGGTCCGGGCTAGGATTCTGCGCCACCTCACGGGTCCAGGTCTTGGGCCTCCAAGGGGGTCTGGCCGGCACAGACCCGGGCACCGCTGTGTCGCATCCTTTTGTGGTTGATGGGAAGCTCCTGCCCACAGTACGTGACGAGAGGTCGCTCCCAGCTGTGACTCTCCGACACCCTGGTCCCCATAAGTGGGTCAGATGTGCCGTGTCCACGCCTGGAGGACGTGGAAGACCCACGCCGGATTCTTAGCTTCAGAACCGACGTCAGCCTGGGGACCCCGGGCCCCTGACGCTCTGCCTTTGCACTGTCCCCAGCTCCGTCCAGGAATGAGGTCTGCGTGGTGGTTAATATCACTGTAGCCATTTGGATCATGTGAAAATCCCAGGGCTTTTTTGAGAGGAAAGGCTTGCTTTGAATTAACCTGGTGCCTTCCTGTGCCTTTAAGCACCAACACAAGTATAGTTCCTTAAAAAAAAAAGAAAAGAAAAAGAAATTATAACCTAAGCCTGCAGAGGAGAAAACTGCTCAACTTACAGGGACTCTCAGGGCATCAAGCCGGCAGATATGACCCCGCTTTATTCCACCACCTCCCTATTGCATTGTCGCGTAAATAACTTCATAGATATTTGGAGGCTGCGCAAGGAGTATGAACACTTCGTTAGTGACCCGCCATCTTCTGGAAGGTTCTTAAATGGCCATGGAAACTCTTCCCCGAGAGAAGGCTCTTGCCCCGTCAACACCGGGTCCTGTGATGAGCAGCTGCTTTCGTTTCGAGCGACCTGACGCTGGAAAGGTGGCCTGATGAACGTGCAGGAGGGCAGCCGGGGACACGTGGGCGCCTGTCCCCCCCCCGCCTCCGGGGCACAGGCGC